AAATATTTACTGAATAACATAATAATAGAGAATTAATAAAATTCTTAAATAAAATCCTAAATGCATCGCATTCTACGACATAAACTTTTACACTCAATTCCACGTTTTTTCGTAAATTAGTTTCATTGCAAAAGTGACTAAACTTATTACAATTAAACATTTATACTATGTAGATGTAGTCTTCAAAGTAAAAACATAGTTCTGAAGCTCACAAGTGAACCTAAATCAAAGTTTATATCCCAAAAGAAAGTTTCTTTCCAACATTTTGATCATAACTTATCATGCTCAGAGCGTTTTCCAAGTTTTCTAGGGACATGGCGACTTTCTGTATGACTACCAATGTAGAAGCATACCTAGATACGTGATAACATTAAAAGGAAAATCGGAATAGTTGTGACACGTTTTTTATGTATGTAGGTACTTAAACATGAAGGTACTTATTATGATTTCTTTGGCATTTTCCTGGGCAAACGGCAATGTTTAAATGATAAATTATAATTTTGTCTATTATTTTAATTAATGATATATGTGTCTTTTAAAGTCCAGACAGATACTTATAGAATTATGTGCGAGAACCGTGCAAGTTAATTCTATAGTGGTCTATTGAGGAAATATCCACATCAGTTTGAGCGGACCTGTTCTGATGGCAGCACGCATGTGTCAGTTTCCAATCAGCTCAACAGTTTCAAAGAACGAGATTTTTTTTACAATGTGTGGAGCGTCATGTATTTTCTTATCACCATCACCACGTACTTAGCCAAAGTCGTGAGTAGGTAAGTAGGTAACAGTTACTTATAAAATAATTGTAGGTACTTACATAGTTTGACTTTGTCAGCTCTACCAGTTATCAATATTCGAGACACATAAAACATCGTAAAAGTGTTTTTATTAAAAACTCAGTAATAGTTTTCTATTCAACACGATAGCTGCGTGACATAAAACTGAACGATTATTTTGTTGAGAAAAAAAATCAGAAGGTGAAACCATTAGGGCCGCAATGTCGGCCATAAAATAAGAATTAGGGGTCGTAAAAATAAAAATTTGCCGTATGAAATATTTTTTGACGAAATTCATGGGACCCGCTCACTTTGGTACACCCACAGATGCATCTATAGTGTGCACCTTATCTTTACCTATGTCTTTGCGTTTTTTACTATATAAACCTCGTATTATCCGAGGGGGTAAGTAGAGAGAGATGCACATAAACATTACCAAATGTTTCTTTTTTCATCCACTTTATGGCAGTTAGAGATATCGAATGCAATCAACAAAAGGCGATCATCGCACGTACTACCCACGTCCGTTTTGTAATTGAGATTCTCAAAAAAAAAACAATAACATTTTGCCCGTTCCAGAAATGGAATCCGAAAGCAGTTACTCGGTAGTCGACCTTGCTCGATCAACACAAGCACCTCTACTTTCTAAGTACGAAGTACCTACCTATGTAGAAAAAATAAACAGAAAACGTTATCAAAACATTGCTACCAGGGTACAACAACATGGCAATATTGTTTTCTAGTGTTGTTACCGAGTCCCGACTGGAGAGACATAGGTAAACTTATTCCACTTGTAGTTCGAGAGGCTATTAGCCGTAAGGAGCGCAATAAAACACTGCTGTGCGCGACGGAATGTAATAATGAAAGGATTTTATTGACAAACTGCCTTCTAGCCTCCTAGCCTGTATACCGTCGAGTGCAATCGAAGTCTTAAAAAAATACCGTACATAGATACGACTGGTTGAAGAAGTCTATATGTAGGTAGGTGCTTAACGAGTAATCACTTGTGTATGTGATCTGGCTCGTGTACGGAGTGCAACTGAGTAAAGGCTCATACGTTGATATATCTACATATATCATAGTAAACTACTAATACTAAATAGTAATTTAAATATAGAAGATCCAACAGTCAAACTATTTATATATAGTTATTTGGACATGGCGTTAGATTATAAGGCATACCATGTACCTTTATTATTAATAAATAAATAATAATAATAATCGTACCGAAAATTAGTTCATACAAAAGTAGTCTCTAAACATCGAAAATAAGGTCTATAATGGAGTTAGTGGATAGCGGTCACCGGTGACCGCTTGGGTATTTAGCAGTTTCTTAAGGTTTTATTTCCACTCTATTTCAAGGGGAACGGGACTTACAATTTACAACATACCTGCCTACTTCAGTTGTGAAAAGGGGATGTTACATTTAAATAGTATTTCACCTCTACCTAGCCTACTGGTGTGTCGCGGAGAACCTAACGGGTAACCGGGGCTCCGGCTCGACGTGCAGGAGAAGGAACGGGGTGGTTTTTAGTCAGTAAGAGTCTGACACTCCCTTCCGCCTCACCCAGGCGGGAGCAGTCATTCGATGATTTTCCGCCCTTAAAAAAAAAGACACTGAGTCATAATTATCTACGATACTATAAGATGAATTTGCTTCGATAAGTAGGTGTCAGTACCTAAGCATATTATTCCACTTCTTAATTTTTAAACTTACTTTCTAACTCAAATCTTAAAAGTAAATGTAGAAAAGATAAATCTTAGATAAACAACACGAAAACTTTAGATTTAATATTAGTTTTAGAATTTGAATAAACTAACAATAACCAAAAACAAGCATTGCTAAGATTAACCACTTAATAAACGATTAGAAAACTTAACTAATAAAACTCTTCAAAATCAATAACCACTTTCGACTTTACAAGTACCTACATAAACAAAAATTGAAGTTTAGTTCATTTTCATCAACAGCCTATAAAATGCTCAGTGCTGAACAAAGACCTCTTCTCAGATCACACGGAGAATGTTTGAACACTAATGATCACGCTTCCTCAAGGCGGATTGGCGATTTCAACTTATAAATAGACTAGCTTTTACCCGCGGCTTCGCTCGCGTCACAAAAGGATAAAAAGTTGCCTATGTGACATATACCAATACACACAGCGCCACCTATACCAATAATTTCGTTTTCCCTTGAGAATATCAATTTTTCCGGGATAAAAAGTACCCTATTATTTAATCCAGACTTCTAACAACACGTCTGCAAAAATTCAAAGCAATCGGTTTAGTAGTTACGGCGCGAAAGTGGAACAAACAAACATACTCACTTTCCGATTTACAATATTAGTAAGGAATATCCTGAGAAAAAGAGACCTATAATAAGTAAATTTTACATAAAGAACATTTTCATTACAGCACTTACCTATGACTGAGTGACTGCCTCGTTGGCCGAGTGGTCGCAATTGCGACTGCCGGGCAAGAGGTCTCGGGTTCGATTCCCGGGTTGCGCAAAGTATTACTGGGGTTTTTTTTTTTATTCTGAGTAGTACGGAGTCTGGAACTGTGCCCGGTATATGGCAATAGGCTCACCCTCTATTACATGGAACTCATAATATAAATAGTGAAAAGTAGGTGTTACATAATTGTACAGTGGTATAATGTGCACCTCTACCTAACCCTTCGAGGATAATAGGCGTGATGTTACGTTATGTCACCTATGAATATTAAATTTTAATAGAAGAAGAAAAAACATAAAAAAGCGGCTCTACTTTCCGTGCAAAATTGTTACTAGTCTAACTAATGCATAAAGTCTTTAAAATCTCATTAGAACATCAGAAAGATGTTAACGACACACAAACGTAGCACTTTTACATATTTCTTACCTATTTAATACTTAGTAATAGGTAAGGACTTTAGGCTTAAAAGTACCTAAATAGGTAGGTTCATAGGAGGGATCAACGGTGTTACAATCGAATATTGGGTCTTGATTCCGATTCTCAGTTGGAAATTTCGGATATTACTTATTAGAATTAGATTTGCGTTTCGATAAAGTACAGGTAGGACGTTTGATTCCACTGTGAGTCTAGAATGATGGATCCCAGTATCTGGCGTTAGGCCTCTTTTAAGAAGTCCCAGATAGACCAAAATTCGTACTTAGATGCCTTAAATTTTATAACTGTACACAGTCTAAAGATATATTTTAAGGGGGGGGGGGGGATCATCGATTGACTTCTCTCGCTTGGGTGAGGCGGGAGCACAGATATAATAAAGAAATATTTTTAATATTTCTGTGGGCGGGAGGGAGTGTCAGACTCTTACTGACTAAAAACCACCCCTTTCCTACTCCTGCGCTTCGAGCCGGAGCCTCGGTAACCCGTTAGGTTCTCCGCGACTCCGAATCAGTATATAGATATATTTAATGTATAATATTTACCCAAATACTTACCCACCTACTTAGATATAATGAAGGAGCATTTTACAAATTAAAAGTTAGTTTATTTTCATTTAATCGGAACAGACAGGTTCATGAAAAGGTAGTGTCAATACCTACTTTAAATAATACAGTACAGCAGACATTGTTTTAACTAATTCATTATCTATTAACAAAACACTTGTACCTATATCTCTGATCATTACTGTCATAGTCTTTCAAATAAACTGCGGCCGTTAATACATACTGTTCGGTGACTTACGACCTTACTGTTCTAAAGGAATACCGATTAATAAAATGAAAATTATATTCTTGACGTTAATGTTTTAACCTATGGAAATGAAATAATAGGTAAGTATTTAAAAACCGTTTAAATACATACAATTTGAATCACATAAGTCAGTATTTTAATTACTAACAAAACGTAAATAAATTATTTTCTTACGTTTTGGTTTTGCGTAATCAGCTGTTTGGTCAGCTGATGGCGTTACTGTCATTTATGACAGTTATTGTGGAGTTGTCAATGTTGTCAATGCGAGAAAATTGACGCAGTCACACAGCGTAGTAGCTTAGTTATCGAATGTTGTCGAGTTACGCTTCACGAATTACGTTTTCATTATATTTGGACTTCGTAATATTGCACACGATTTCGTGTTTAAAGCGATAAATATAAATGATAAAAGGTCGCTTCCAGCCAGTAACTGCCCAAGGTCGCACGCTGTTGTTTTAACTTTTACCAGTTTATCATGTAATAAATACAGTAAGAGTTCAGTGTTTTTAAAAGAATCGGAAAAATGACACTTAAAAATATATTGCTAAGGTAGGTCAGTGTAAATTGTGCACCATTCATTGGAAATTTAAATACAATGTGTGTACGAATACTTATTGTCTTAATTTAAGTTATTGTTTTTTATTAATCATAAATAATCTGTGTCATTGCTTATAAATAAATAATCCCTTACGTCTTACAGTGAATGCTGCTTAAAGCTACACGGTACACACATTGAGCTTAATAAGAATGTGATCCTACTAATAATAAACCTGCTTCAGTTTTCCATTCATAATAGTCAATTAAAAATACATTTAACAAATTATTTACTTGCAGAACAATCAACCAGAAGAATAAATACATAAACTTGGTTGCCACAGCAGTAAAGTTCAACCAAGAACAATACAATCATGGAGAACAAAATAGACAATACAGAAAGACAGTTGCCACAGCTTTATTTAGCTCTGTGCTAATTGGAACTGTATTAGCAGGTATATAAAACCTTTTATTACATTTATCAGTTAATGAGGAAGTCATTGTGGAAGGCCTATTTTCAACAGTCTTGTGGTCTTGTGTATAATGATGATGATGAATTAGTTATTACACTGTCCTATTGATGATCTGAAACTACTACTCACTCAGTAATTAGGAGAAATAAATAACGATTTATTTGAAGTTAGATGCTTCGTAAATATCTCATTTAAAATACATTAATAAATTTAATTTAATCCTCTGCGTGGGCAAACAGAGATGTATCTTAGACTACATTAAGCTTAAAGCCCATATTATATCAAGTTTATATTTGGCATTAATAACAAAAGTGGAACTCATTACACATATAATTTACTTTCTAAATTGGTTTAATTTTTATTCTAATTAATCATTCATTACAGAAAAATCTAAAAATGAAAGCAAGGGCAAAGACAAGAGTAAGGATGATAATATATGTGAAGCGGGAGAAAGGAGGCCGGATCTACCTACATACAGGGCAGAGGAAGTTAGCAAACATGATTCTGTGTAAGTTCCCAAATTGCTATATTAAGTTTAAGACTTAAATCTTAGACATTCAATTGAAGTATTTCATTCAAGAGCATGGGCTGTAGATTTTATTAAAAAAGCATACAATCATTAACACATCAAGGTAACCCAAATATTTATAGATTCTATGCTAAAGCGGGACACATTATTCATTGTTTATCAATGCATACTTCAAAATTAAAACCCTGATGAAATTGAAAGTATCTAATGCCTACCCGCCAACTAATGTTGACTGTGCAAGTACATGAATAACAAACACTGCTTGGAATTTCCTTATAAAATAAATTAAGGAAATATGTGAGAAAAATATAACAAGTTACCTGCCCTTGGTGCAGTCAGTTTTAGTTCATAGATATAATAAATTAATGTTTTAATAACTATAATAATAATTATGATTAACATTGCATGTCTACAATACATAAATACACATGGCTGTATAAGCTTCGTTATATATCTTTCTGATGCCATGGAAAAGAATAAGAAATTGTTATACTGCAAAAATGAACAAATAATATAAGTAGTACTCGATTTTGTGAAATGTAAATACTAGGATATAAATATGATAGTCGACCTGGTAATGAACATTCAAACTTATTCTGGTTATTAATATAATAAAACAGTAATAAATACCCATTTCCATATAAGTAGTTACACACTTAGTGGTATCATGATAAAAATATAAAATAGTTACTTACTCATACTGATACACTATATTTTTGATTATCAGTTGAATCAATAGATAATTAACTAAAGATTTATTGCCTTTGTTAATTTCGTATCAAGATTTAAATCTATAATACTGACATACTGACAGGCACTTGAACAATTCTACATTACCTTTAGGTATATAGGAATAATAGTTAATGTTGTATAGAATATCATCATGTCTATTACCTAGGTGATAATTAAAGCAATTAACTTTGTAGGTGTGTAGTCAATATAATTAAAATAATTTAAGGATAAGATCACCAAAGTGAAAGTTGTCCTAAAAATGTAGCTATAAAAACAATGTTCGTAGGATTGTATTTCGCAAACCATTCTTAGCCATAATTACACAATATCATGTAACACCCACCTTTCACAATTTTATGTTAATGGGTCCCATCTAATAGGGGGTGAGCCTATTGCCATATTTAGGGCACAATTCCAGACTCCGTGCTACCACTGAGAATTTGTTAAAAACCCAGTGATACTTTGCCCGACCCGGAAATCGAACCCGAGACCCCTTGCCTGGCAATCGCATTTGCGACTACTCGGCCAACGAGGCAGTTTAGCACCAATGTGCACCTCTGCCTATCCCTTCGGGGAAGAAAGGCATGATGTTATGTTATGTTAATTACACAATATCAACCTTATTTCTGAAGGGATCACATAAATCCTGATAAAAAAAATAGAATATACTACAGATCGTTTTTATTTATAATCAACTAGCTGCCCGCGACATCGTCCGCGTAGAATATGATTCGTGTTTTATCACATGGGAGCATTTAATCGAGATAAAAAGTATCCTGTCACCTAAGTCAGCCCATACCATGCCTGTATACCAACTTTCATCAAAATCCGTTCAGTAGTTTCAGCGTGATTGATGGACAAACATTCAAACAAAGATACTTTTACATTTACAATATTAATGTGATCTCAGTGAGACTAGTCAGCTACTTAGTAAAGGCCAAGAAAACTTCTAAAACATCTCGTTAGATAACACGTACGTAATAAGATGTTTTGACAAGATCTACATACACATATAGATGATAAGAATCGTACATAACTTCATGGTGTTATCGGCTCCCGGGCGGTAACTATCTCTAATCTGGACCTGATAAGACGCTTGTCAAGATATTACTGTATACCCAACACAGTAGGTTTCCTTGTCAAAATAATAATGTGATTACGAATTTTTGTGATAGCCACAAAAATTGTTGTATGGTCTACCATTCAAAAAAGCGCTGTACTGTACATAACATAACATAACGCCTTTTATACCCGAAGGTGTAGGCATAGGTGCACATTATGTCACTGTTCAATGTAACACCCACTTTTCACTATTTATGTTATGAGTCCCATGTAATAGAGGGTAAGCCTATTGCCATATACCGGACACAATTCCAGACTCCGTGTTACTACTGGATTTTTTTTCAAAAATCCCAGTAATACTTTGCCCGACCCGGGAATCGAACCCGAGACCCCTTGCTCGGCCTCGCAGTCGAAGCAGTCATTCGGTCAACGAGGCAGTCAAGTCAAGAAAGAGTTTTATACATACAAGAGTTTTATACGTACTCACGATATTGTCTTCATTTCCTATTTCCTAGTTCACAGAGGTAATAATGTGCGGTCCTAAGTGAAAGTGTACGATATGCGACAGGAATATGAATAGCTTCATTAAGTGCTTTGCTTACATGAGATAATGGCCATTTTCGCCACCCACCGCTAAACTATCTCTTAACTAAGAATTACCTAGCGTGAGGAAGCACATAAACGAATTCTTTACCCGTAACTGTTAAGTGTCACTTAGGTACCAAAATGAAGTTAAAATCTTAACGTAGAAGTTCGTTAAAATTTAAAATAAGTTGATAAAAACAGACAAGAAAAGACTCGCAAAGAGCTACAAGCTTTACTTACACCACAATCAGTAATTATACTTCAAATGAGCTTTTAAATGGTGTAATAGAACGCTTTGTCTCCAGTCAACAACCGCTCAGGTTAAATACAAACAAATTATTATGTATTGTTATGTTGTGGAGGTGTTACAACACCACATGTAACTTAATAGCGGTTGCCATAGATACGATATTATGTGGTCAGCCAATGGCTGTAATTTGTTAAGTTTACTATATCCAATAGCCATCTTTTGTGTGCTTATTGAACCTATAATGAAATTGTCTAACAGTGATTGTGGCTTTGTCATACAATTATGACCTAATGTGTAATTTCTAGAGATTTATTCACAACCATGAGTAGATCTTTTCATTGGCTTGAGTATTTTCAATTGAACTAGGTACATAAAATGTTTATGAAAATCGATTTAGTAGTGTCTAAGATGCGGTGCAAACGTTACTGTTTATATTATGAAGTCGCTTTACTTAACAAATATTTTGTTGCGTGGTTTATTTTTAGTACAGTTTTGTAATATAATTGAAATTATTAGTGAACTACTGACGCACTTTGCTCTCGTTGCTTGTTAGTTGATAACAAAGTAATAAATAAATACGCATGTATGGGTAGAACTGACGTAGATATCGCTAAACCGTGACAAAATATTTAAATTGTGTCGTCAATGGAAATTATATTATTTACCTAATAACAACACACTGCCATGTTTTCCATTGTTAATAAAAAATGTCGTTAAAGGGGTTTTAAAGAGGTCTTTATCATTTAGTGAAAATCAAGTCGTGTATTTTGTTAAAATATAAATCTTAAGTCGATATGTTATGATAAAAAATCAATAACATGACTTATTTATCTTTTTTTTCGATAATGTAGTAATCTTGAATGCACACCCCTAAAGAAAATGAGTTCATGATCCGTGATAGGTATGATACCTTCTTAAATAAATTGCCTGTGTTTGTTACAGACCGATAAAAGTTAAAATAAAACTTTGCCTCAACTTAGGATTTTCTCCTGTGTTGTGGGTGCGTTTACAAACATACAATTTCACATACACATGACAACCAGACCCGAAACAACAATTTGTGGATCAAACAAAGAGTTGTTCCACGTCGAGCACCAGCCGGTTGCCCAGTCACCGCGCCAACCATGCACTCTACATTATTAACTTCTTTTTTCTTAACCCTTCAAGTGCACGCATAATGCACGGCATGATGCTAATAATTAGCGGAAAAGCCTTCAACACTTATCTATTGATTGTCAAAGATTTAATGAATACTTACAGACATTCCATTCGTATAAAACAGTTTAATATTCAATCATCTTGTGTTACTTCGGAACGGAATAGCCTCATGAAAATGTAATTTCGTTGCAGTCCAATGAGCGTGGAAATATGTTAGCGTAGCCAAGAATTAGCTATTAATCGATCGATAGTTTTTAATTTACTGATCGATTTATAAATCGATTTCAATAGATTAAAAAGATAGGCCTTGTATTGTGGAATGAGATTAAGAAAATACGATCCCCTAGTTATGTAATAAAACTAACAGTTCGATCAAAAATACTATTTATTAGCTATTTTTTATTGACTCTGCATGCTTATTGGCTGGCAGTTCAGTAGTTGACTAATTTCTTAAAACTTTGTTTGTATTAAAACTTTTATGAGACATACTAAATTAATTATTATGTTTGACGAATTAACTGTTTGACGAGGAACTCGACTAGTTTCAAGCCATGCTGGAGGCTCATATTAAAAGAAATTTGACATTTCTTAATACTAGAAACATATCTCTCTTGGTCTTTCATGAAATCTAATGTAGTAGGGCGAACTCATCTAACTTCGTGACAAAGTCATTTGAGTAATAAAATACCAATAAATTATTAATTAATTTAATTCAGTCTCCGCATGAGTTTTAATCAGTCTTTTATGAGGAATATTAGCACAAATAATCAGATTTTTTTCTAGAAACCTAAGAGTTCTACCAAATTTACTAAACCGAATTATTAGGCGAGTCACAGAATTAGATGAGTTCACTATACTTTGATCGTATCGAACACCATTCTAGGATATCAGGAGACTAAGGAAATAAATAGGGTTTTGCATTAATTTCCTCTTGTATTTTGTTAACAGGGAAAGCTTTTGGGTAATATACAAGAACGGCGTGTACGATGTGACCTCATTCCTGCCCTCCCATCCTGGAGGGGACCAGATCATGAACGCTGGAGGTCTCAGCATAGAACCGTTCTGGAACGTCTATGGCATGCACAAGACGAAGGATATCTGCGCCTTATTGGAGAGTTATAGGATAGGTAAGTTTAAAATGGTGATTTTTTATGGCGTAAGCCGGTAAACGAGCAGACGGATCACCTGATTGTAAGCAATCGGCGTCGCCTATGGACACCTGGAACACCAGAGGCGTTACAAGTGCGTTACCGGCCTTTTGGGGATTAGGAGTTTGAGGATCGTTGGGTATTCACGAATTCGGGAGATTGGGGAGGGGGAGGGTAATTGGGCCTCCGGTAACCTCACTCACACGACGAAACACAACGCAAGCTTGCTTCACGTCGGTTTTCTGTGAGGCCGTGGTATCACTCCGGTCGAGCCGGCCCATTCGTGCCGAAGTATGGCTCTCCCACACATATGAATGAAAAAATAGGCCACAAAATTGGGGTTACCGTTTTTCGCTTAGAAAATGGCGCTGTTATGGAATTAGTTAGTGTCACACCACACACCATTGTACGTTTTTTGGGAGCTATAGTACCTAATTGGACAAATAGGACATTACGCTTTACAGGCACCATCTGATAATCACAATAACCCTTATTGAATGATATTCTTCATAACAATTTAAGATGTCCCATAAAAATAATATAGGTACGTTGTTTATTTTCCTAGGTAACCTTCACGAAGATGACATGATGGACCATTCCGGTGAAGAGTTGTGGGTGAAGGAGCCGAGCAGAGACAAGCGGCTGATAGTGAAGACCAGCAAGCCGTTCAACGCGGAGATACCGGCCAAACTACAGGTCGAACACTTCGACACGCCCAAGTATGTTGGTAAATGTTGTGTTGTGTTGATTGCACTTAATATTGTATGCCATAAATTAATATTGGTGTTCTTATAAGTATATGATATATATATATTTAAGACTTCACACGTAACGCTGAATTAATATTCTCATTGTTATTATTAGCACATTTCCGTCAACATCTGAACACAGTATAGCATAATATTTTCCATTTTTAGTTCTTGGTCCGGTTTTCATTTTTATGGTTCCTTTTGCTTGATGTTGTCTGTTTCACATTCTTACTTTACATAGTAAGTTCAATCACCTAGCCTTGAAATATTTTTCACGCAATATTAGTCCTTATGAACCTTGTCCTACACGATACTATATTGCAATCCCCTCTTCTATTCTGACGGTGTTCTTTTGTTTACAGCGAATTATTTTACGTCCGTCAACACATGCCTGTTCCAGAGTTGGACTCGTCTCAGCATCGAGTGCGGGTGATCATAAAGAATGGAGAGACAGTGACGCGCGAGTTCAGCCTGCAGCAACTGGACATGTTCCCGCGGACTAAAGTACGCGCCGCGCTCATGTGTGCCGGGAACCGACGCAGCGAGATGAATGAGGTAATATTTACTCTTATTACTAGTAAAAATGTTTTTATAATAACTATCGTGAGACATACTAAGTCGTGAGCTGCGCGACATCGCCGCGACCGCGCACGCTGCCCATGAGGAAGAACCCCTCTGTGGTCGAAACTAGTAGAGCTTTTCTCAGTATATTCACGTGACTAACCCGCGATTTTAGTTAACTAATAAAAATGTTATTTGTAGGTACTGGCTTTCTTACCCGCAACTTCAATCAAAGTTCTCAAAAAGCAACTTTATCCACCAATAAAACCATATAACAATCCGCTCAGTTTGTTGTTTTCTACATTGACACCAATGATCAATGTCTTCTTAGGAACATATTCTTATAGAGATCACAATACATTTCCAACTTTATTGCATTTTAGTAACGTCGAAAATCTATTGAAAAACACCGGTTAACACATGTTGGTGTGCTGTGGTCTTTAATCTGCAATGTACACACTGGTATTTGTACACAAGTCCTAATAATTTTCTAGCAATAAGTGTTTGTTTCGTTTGAATCCAAAGCAGGTGAAGCCAGTGAAGGGCATAAGTTGGCAGGGCGGCGCCATCAGTAACGCGGTGTGGGAGGGCGTGCTACTGGTCGACGTACTGAGGGCCTGCGGGGTCGACAATACCGACGTCGCCGGGAAACACGTCATTGTAACGTATATACTTACATTACCTTTTTTTTTGAGGGGGGAAAATCATCCAGTGGCTTCTCCCGCCCGGGTGAAGCGAGAGGGAGTGTCAGACTCTTACTGACTAAAAACCACCCCGTTCCTACTCCTACACTTCGAGCCGGAGCCCCGGCAACCCGTTAAGTCTTCCGCGGCTCCGTATCGGCATTAACCCTGTTAGGCCCCATCTGTGGTGGTCTGATGGCTCCTTGAGGTGCGCGCAGAACGCTCGGCGCCGTACGCTCGGGCCTGGTTCTGGTCGGGCGGCGACCCACCCGTGCTCACCGCCCGCAGGATACTTACATTACCTGCCTTATAATTATATAAGTCCTTTACCACCCAGAATGAATGATATATGTAAAAAAGTGAAAGAAGTATGCTCTGCTTTCACCACTATGTTGCTAGCTTCGCCCGTTTTCACTATCTTCTGTCAAAAGGATCTCCTAAGCTAAGTGATACTTAACGACATTTTGGTTTTCACCAACCTGTAAGTGACACCCAAAGGTAAAGAGTTATTTATGTGTTCCCTCGCGCTAAGTAATGTAAATGGCGATTATAAACCTGTTAAACATTCCAATTGTACTACTATCGTTGATTTATCTATATACATAATTTATTAAAGGCAGTCAAAATTATAGGGTTTATTATCCCCAGTTCACAGGCTCAGACATAGACGCGACTGGAGTGAACTTCTCGACGTCGATTCCGTTGGAGCAGGCCCTGAACCCTCGCAACAGAGTCCTGCTGGCCACGCACATGAACGGCGCCGCGCTGCCGCCCGACCACGGCCACCCGCTGCGGGCCGTCGTGCCCGGCGCGCCCGCCGTCCGGAGCGTCAAGTGGCTTGGTAACTTATTATACTATATTATGTCGACGGCTGAAAGGCTAATTGACAAAACCGTTTTTTTTTGTGATATTGTTAAATACCTAAATCACGACGAAGGAAAATTCGCTGGTTTCAAACAAGTATTTAACTCAATATCGCAAAAAATGTCGCTTAGATCAATTAGCCTTTCAACCGTCGGCGTCGATGTGAAGTTTTTAAAAATCGATTTAAGTTATGCTTCAATAAGGTGGATTAAGGTACATAGTTGAAAGAATATCTACTGCGTTTTATTAGTTTGAATAAGTAGAATTAAAACAGACGTCAAATATTTTTAGGTACAATATTTTGACCGGGCTGAGCAATATGCTTCACCTGGGTGGCTTCTTCATGTCACTTCTCCTTGTACCGAAATCTATGCTTTAAATTTTAGGTGTATATGAGATCTTAATCCCCCTTTAAACCAATATAGCTAACGGCTCTACGACTATCATTGATTTAATTCTAAGTGATTTTCTATCATAGCCGGAGTTATTGAAAACCGACGCTTTTATCCATAGAATCAATAACAATATCAAAAGACGAGAGTTCGTCCCACTGGCACCAGAAAGACTACCGTTCCTTTAACGCGTCCAAAACGTGGGAGACGGCGGACTTTGCGACCGCCCCGCCCATATACAGCCTGCCTGTCACGTCCGCTATATGCGACCCCGCCAACGGAGATACCGTTGTGGCAAAGAATGGAGTCGTGGAAATCAGAGGTAAGGATTTGAGTACTGATTTTCAACTGTTTTATATGTATATAGCGACATCTGTTGTCATATTACGAAGATTCCAGTTTGCATAGGAAACCAATAGATGGCGTGGAAACATACTTCGGTGTTTCACTCAATGAAAGATTTAAAAAAGATAAAAATGTACAACCGTAGTGTAGTAGTCTGCCAGGAATGATTATTAAGATGAATAAGAGTTTTATTTGGTTATGCAACCGCTCTTCTATTACATTTTTGCAGGATGTCGCTCTTTCATTGGATTTCTCCTCTGAAAAGCTAATATGATGTCAAGTACTACATTAAACTTAATTTCTCGTACAACAAGGTTACGCCTACTCCGGCGGTGGTGCTAAGATCCTCCGAGTGGACATATCACCAGACTGCGGTGAGACCTGGGTGCAAGCTGAGGAGATGCAGACTGATGATGCACCGCCTCAGCAACACTACTCCTGGACGCTGTGGACTGCCAGGATACCCGTCCGTAAGGGACAGAAAGAGGTATCATCAATATTTTACTTCATATGATAGCTTTTTATGGGTTAGGCAAACGATCAAAGGTGGACTATCTGATGAGCGATCAGCACCACTCATACCCATGGACACCCACAACATCAGAGAAGTTATGTGTGGCGCTTGCCCTTTTGGAGGGAGGGGATTGAATCTCCAGTAACCCCACTCACACGGCGAAATACAACGCAAGCTTTGTTCCACGCTTTTCTGTGGATTTTATATTACAGAATTTATTGTGCTTACACAGTAATACGTTTACAAAAACTAAGAAAAAGTAAACTTTAAATGGCAATAGCTTATGGATAGGACTATTGTCGACAGTGGCGCCAACTAGCATTACTTTTTGCTTTTTCGCTATCTTTTTCATAAAGAAAAAAACGTAATACAATGTTTCTGAACAATCGTGTTTCATTATTTACTAAGAGATACTTTGTAGAAAACTAATCAAACTATTATTACAGATTGAATTATGGGCGAAGGCCACGGACAGCAACTTCAACACTCAACCCGAGAGGTTTGATGATATTTGGAACATTAGAGGGCTACTTAGTAACGCTTATCATAGAATCAAAGTACAGATCAAACATTAGTTATTGTATTTTTTATGTACAACTTTGTTTACTTAGTGTTAAGGTCGATTTTTGATATCCATCTGTTACCATTTTAATATTATTTTTGTACGACTGTTGCAGGTCCTTGATTTTCAAATGTTATGTTCAAGAGCAGAATATTTTTATCGATATTCAAACTGACAACACTGTTTTACTTTTACCAAATTGTCTTAGTTCGTTAGATAGGATTTAAAGTAATTTTGTCTAGTTATGATTATTTTATTATAATATTATGCACGAACCGAAAGGAGGCTCGAACTTCATATACTCTGTTTTAGTCAATCTCTTGAGTTGTGCTTACATTTAGTTTTAATGCTCGAAACTTAAGTTTTTTTGCTCTATAAATTGATCAAGTAATTTTTATACACTTATTTTTACATTGTTATCCGTACAAGATTTTTCTTTAGTGCTACCGTTATGTAATGATTCCATGTGTCAAACATACCTGAATTATAATGTTTACAAAAATAATTATATTTTTTTTCTTTTCTTGCCCAGATTAAAAATTACAATTACACTTGAATAACTGTTTACAGGAATATACAAAACTTTTTACTGAACAGTATGTATTTAGAGACAGATAACAATATGTATTGTAACTTTCGTGAGATACTAAATAAATTATTATGTTTTCGGCTTACTCACGTAATAATTCGACGAGGAACTCGACTAGTTTCAAGCTATGCTAGAGGCTCATATTCATGAGCAGCATTTTGCGACCCGCGACGCGGCCACTGTCGCGCTGCTTCGAGTACCAGTAGTAAGTAAGCCGAAAACATAATAATTTAGATAACAATTTGTTATGTAACTATTTTATACCTGACAAAAATCCACGATTACCTTACTCGACCATGACAGCGCTTAGTACAATACGATACTCAAAACCGTATTATTCAAGGCCACCTAGGCAAGTGCTGCGCACCAGGTAACAGAGGGGCGCGCGGGTCACGTGTACCCAGTGTGACAGCGGCACCAATAAAAAATCAGAAGCACCTATGAAGTGCTTGTCTAGTGCGCTCTTTGAGATTAATCCGCATCTGACCATATTACTCACACAGTCACACCAATGCATTTACTTGACTATAATTAATTTATTGGGGTACACTTAGACAACCGTGTTATTTCGAAAATTTAATGTTATAAATCTAATTTAAAATTTTAGTTGAACTATGTATTTAAATTGTTATTTGAATTATATTTTTACATAATAAAAATAACTGTTTTAATAACTAAATCCCAGAAGTGGAAAATCCAGAATTAGTACTGAATTGGTAAGTATAAAACATGGACTAAAATATTTAAGTAAGTAATTTACGGACTATGAATTCAGTCTTAATAACATTATTCTGTATCATAGTTCTAGCGGAAAGGTACACATTGTAATACACGTGAAACCCAATTCTGCTTCAAACTAAGTACATAAATATTCTATCAAGTTAATTATGTCGCGGAGAACCTAACGGGTAACCGGGGCTCCGGCTCGACGTGCAGGAGAAGGAACGGGGTGGTTTTTAGTCAGTAAGAGTCTGACACTTCCTTCCGCCTCACCCAGGCGGGAGCAGTCATTCGATGATTTTCCCCCCTTAAAAAAAAAAAATCAAGTTAATTATGCCCATATAAAAGTATGGACATTCCACTGCTATGTCGATTAACTTTGGTTTTTCTTACCTCTAACAATTATGTAGTGAGTGTGTGTCTTCTACCCAGTGGTATCATTTATTTATCTCTTCAATACCTATTTGTGCCCAAGACTGTCCCATTATTACGCACGCAGATAATAATTATACAATAATCGTATTCATGCGTAATCGTTCTCTTAAATAAGGTTCATATTGTCAACAAAAGGTCGATCACCTAGATAATATGAAGGCCAAATTGGGTCCGGTTTCTGAATGATTTACAATTCAATGTGGACTTACACTCAGATTTGAATATTTTTACGTGTTATAAATACAATTTTAATTCATTTGCACAGTCGCCAGTTGGTAAATAGAGGTAGTATATTATCATGGGTGTGTCTACAATTTGGTTAAATTTTTCCATTATACTTACTTAGATTTCGCATCAGAAACCTAAGTAAGTTTCTAATATGATGGTACGTCTCTCATTTTGATACAGCGAATCTGAACAATGTTATTTCGAAAAAACGTCATTTCTACGTATAAAAAGTACATAGAAGTGACGTCACGCGACATTTCAAATCAATATATCTTCGAAAGTATTTGTTTCTATAAGAAAATAAAAAATACGTGTCTAATGTTTTAGAATAATCTACCAGACGGACATTAAAATATTAAATCAAAATTAGGTATCTACCCTATTGTTCTATACGGTCTATGTAGCCAGTCGCCCAGTCACTACTTACCTAATTGATCACCTTTTTTTGCAATGATGTAGGCCTTTTTTTAAGGGGGGTAATCATCGAATGTCTTTTCCCGCCTGGGTGAGGCGGGAGGGAGTGTCAGACTCTTACTGACTGTTCCTACTCCTGCCCGTTGAGCCGGAGCTCCGGCAACCCGTTAAGTGGTCCGCGGCTCAGTATCGGCATCAGCCTTATTGGGTCCCATCCGTGGTGGTCTGATGGCTCTTTGAGACGCGCGCGGAACGCGACGCGCCGTACGCTCGGGTCTGGTTTTGGTCGGGCAAGCCACCCCTGCCGGAGATCGTTCCGCGATCCCCGACGCCCGGAATGGCCTTCACGATGGCTGGGCTTATAACTACTGACTACCGACAATAAGTAGGCAGGTCCTATACATAGCAGATACATAATAATATACATCCGTAAATTGTTCTTACATCATCAAATTAAACAACAATTGGCTCAATTATCCAAATAGTTGTCTGCACACATTCACCTTATCAACTCACACGTTTTGAATCATATCTCAGTGTAAGTAACATTCCAGTTCGTTTAAATAAATTAATATTATATGAATTATTATAAGTATATCAAAGTCCAAACTCAGTGTAGTCCGCGTTCGGTCGGGGCAGCACGTCAACATGTTCGCCTTGAGACTCATTACGAGTGCGACAAAATTTACAAAAACGTTGCCAAGCGCATCGTGTATCAACACAATTCACACTCTAAATGTGCTATTCAAAAATAAAACAGATGATTTACTCAGTGTTGATATTCGCGGTGAATCTCTACAGTTCCCATATGTGTGGTTGAGAGAGAACTGCCAGTGTGAACAGTGCTATCATACTTCAGCCAAGAGCAGAATACTTGACTGGAACAACTTTGATCTAAATGTGAAACCGAAAGACGTCTCTAAAGATCAACATTCTTTACAAGTCACCTGGAACGACGGACATACATCGCAATTTAATTTAAACTGGCTGAAGTTCAGAGGCTTCACCACAGAAAATCAAAATAATTACACGGAAACTATTTATAAACCCAAAAACATTACATGGAACAACGAAGACTTCCCAAAAATATTTACCAAACACGATTACAATGAGATATTAAACTCAGAGGAGGCTCTGTACAACTGGCTACACCAGTTATCTGTTTACGGAGTCGCATTAATTCAGAACACACCGGACTCCGAGACAGCTATAGACGCAGTTGTGAATAAAATCGGATTTACAAAGAGGACACACTACGGTGTCAAGTTTGTTGTGCGGAATGTGCCGAATACAAGTAATGTGGCCTACTTGTCGAGTAATTTACAGTTGCATACTGACCTACCGTACTATGAATATTGCCCTGGAGTAAACTTATTACATTGTTTAGTTCAAACAGTTAGTAGAGGGGGAGAAAATGTACTATCCGACTGTCATTATGTCGCACAATATATGAAAGTGCATCACCCAGAGCAATATAAACTGCTCACTGATACGGAAATCGAGTGGAGAGACGTTGGCGTAGAAGATGGTAACGAGTTTTACAAACTACATCGTGATCCGGTCATCTGCTTGGACCGACACGGTGAAGTAACGAGAATAAATTTTTCTATTCCACAAAGGGGGAGTCAGTTTCCTGGACCTATTGACTTAGTGAAGCCTTGGTATGAAGCTCACGCTAATTTCTTAGCTTTGAACCAGAAGTTCGGCGCGCGATTTAAAACTTCTACTGGTGACATTCTGTGTTTCAATAATATTAGGTTGTTGCATGGTCGGAACGCTTATGAGGACAGTGAGAATAATGTAAGGCAACTAATAGGTGCCTATGTAGACTGGGATGAGATATACTCCAGGTTGAGATGTTTGAGAGTAAAGTTGAAGAATGAAGATGGTATCTGCTGAGATTCTATGACATATATTTTACAATACTTTAAATAAACAAGAAATAAATAATTAGGTATCATTTCTGAGTACTTAAATAAAATAATATGGATACAAATACTGTGATTTTTATTTATGAAAAATTTTGTACAATATTCCATAAATTTCGAGTCTTATTGGAATCTGATTTCTGACACAATCATTTATAATGAGTTTTTTTACATATATAAAACCACACAAAGGGTTTAACCCTGCTGAATGGAAAATAATTCAAAAAAAAATATTTTAGAGCTTATTAAGTTTTTATTTAGTTGATATTCAAATAGCCTGCAAAAATACAAAAAATATGTAGATTAAACTCGCATAGTTTTTCGCTGTGTAAACACAATTTTAAGAAGTTTGTTTCATAAAAATGTTTTTCCTTTACAGCTATGGCTTTGTATCACATGCATTCATACATTTAAATACATTAAAACCTTCATTATTACAGTGTTCCTATGTGCACTTACTAAAACTTGTATCTCTGCCCCATTGAATGGGATTGGCAGGATCTGTAAAGTGCCAACAAAAATGACCCTTAATACTTCTTTAGTTTATATCAATTGCATTCAATAATACAAGTAGCTATTATATTAGTATAGTTTGTATTTACACAAATCAACAGTATATTTACAGTGCATAACAAGTATATCAATTAACAATTTCAATATTTTAAATAAAAATTATTTTGTACATCTATTTAAGTTCCACATAAGTATCAATGGCATAACTTCTAATAGAAAACCTGCTGAGAGGAATTATCTTGTCAGTCTCTTCATAAATGTCTTTTACTTCAATTAATGGGAACTCTTCAAACTCTGGATTAGTGGTCATTGCAACAGCATTGGACTCATTGGTATGAATGTATATGGAAAAGCTGCTATTTTCAGGAAGTTCTTTTAAATTATTGCTAATAGAAGACAATTTCAAGCAGAAGGCTCGCAAATTCTGTTCACACTGCACTAAATACGCGTCTAATGTTTCATCAAACATGCTGTTCTTATCAAACTGAAAGACAAACTTCATTATAGGCTTGTATTCACTTTCTGTCACTACAAACTCCACGCAATCCAGTTGATTATTCTTCAAACACTCCACGATAGTCTTCAAGCAAAGCTCAATATACTGATTCACCTCAGGGTGAATAGAACGATATACCACAACATTGTACTTTTTGCGCATTTCAAAAATATTTTTGGGATAAACTGATGTATAGTAAAGAATACTGTGAAAAGCAACTCCCAAGAATTCGGCTGTGATGTCAATAAAACAAGTATCCTTATCCATGTTTACTGTTTAAGCATGGTTAAATAAAAGAGGAATGTTTACAAAATTAAATGAATAACCAACAAAAGTAAACAAACGTGAACCTGAACAGCACCTACTTGCTTGTCAGTTATCTGTCACTGTCACTGTCAATTAATCAAATGATCTAATGATGTCATTCATGGAGTTCGCATTTTTTGAAATATTCGATTTAAATCGATTCGGTTATCGCGTAATTTCGATAATTAAAAATTCTTATTTCTTTTTTTCACAGTTATACACACTTGATACCTTTTATTACTTTGCTTGCAACCAGAGTCGGATTATCCTTAAGGCAAACTAGGCAAGTACCTAGGGCGCCAGATTACAGAAAGAGAGATGCTACGATGCAGTGCCGGGAGATCGTTGCCATCGAGTGAGGGTGGTGCTAAAAACAAATTAGGGCTGCCAAGGAGGAGCTTGCCTAGGGCGCTTTCTAAGTTAAATCCACCTCTGCCTAAGAGACTAATAAAAGAGAGAGAATAGATTGGATTTCACAATTTAACCAATACCTCAACCTAACATCACATCTTCTATTCTTCGAAGACACAGGCTACGCTGAGGCGAATTTTTCACCGACTTCCAATAAGGAGGAGGTTCTCAAAATGGCCGGTATGTTTGTTTTATTTTGTTTTCTGTGTGTACAACAATTACATGGCGGTTTAAGGACCGATTTGCGTTATTATTTTGTGAAGAAAAGTTCATTATCTAGTTACTGTACCTACCCAATCTTGAAATTAATCAGAGACTCCATGTTTACCTATCAATCGCCTTTACAATTTATCTTAGGTACTAAAGTTCGTGTTACAATGAACCAAGTTGAACCTAATATTTATAAATAAAAATCAATGTATTTCAAACAACAAAATAAATTACTGTGTGTTTATTAGCAACAAAAATATCTAATATAGAACATAATTCAATCAATTAGGTCTACAGTAATGAATGTCTCTTTCAATCATCAATTGTCTCCAGACCCTGAAAAATGAAAAGAAAATGTGAAACTCATGACATTCAATATGCAATTTAAAATAGAATAACAAAAATTTACATATTTATATACATAGTTTTTAAACAGTTTATTAGTTTTATACAAAAGAACAATTGAAAGACATCTGCATTTATGGCAATGGAGAGAGCACCCAGAAGGCTGGCATTGAATGCATATTTTATATTTAACCTAACATAACATAGCACCTTTCTTCCCCGTAGGGATAGGCAGAGGTGCTTATTACGGCACTTAATGCCACAGTACAAAGTAAACACTGACTTTTCACTATTTATGTTATGAGTCCCATGTAATAGGAGGTGAGCCTATTGCCATATACCGGGTACTATTCCAGACTTCGTGCTACTACTGGATTTAAAAAAAAACCAGTAATACTTTGCCCGACCCGGGAATCGAACCCGAAGTAGTCGCACTTGCAACCACTCGGCCAATGAGACAGTGATTTTATATTTATTTTTTACATAATCTAGATCTGGACCATTACTTCAATCAAGCTACTAGGTATAGTTTTTAATAGTTAAGAGGCTTACAGTTAGTTTGTAGGGATTTCCATTAAGTCTCAGATCCCTCTGGTAAATATGGCGATCCCACCTGGAGTCAAGAGTGCGCCTATAATGCTGCAATAGAGTAAGAGATCATTTCATTATTATCAAATATTGATATAATATACCAATAGCCTATTTGTCGTCTTGTTTGACTAGAAAATTGTCTGATAAAGTTTATTATGAATTTTATTCAAGAATATCACTAGTTTGTTATTTTTACATTTGTAATTGATAAACATGATCTTAAAACAATTTGTAGAAGTACTACTGGATTGATTGAATATTATCATGCATGATGATGGATGACAGTATGTTAAAGGTACGTAATTATGTTATTATCTGTGAAACCAAAATATTTGTGATTCGACTCTGTATGATCTATGGAAGTAGGTATAAGACAAGATACTTTGTTGAGACTGTGAGTGGTTATCTAACATTTTTAATGTACTTACATTGCCTAAAACTAAATTGTGAATGTGATAAAGACCCCATCCTGGCAAACCTAAGGCTGCTGTGATAATGAAAGCGCTGGGCAGAATTTCGTACCACATTTTCACAAATTATCGGACTAAGCAAAGTAGCAACAATTTCGTAATTCGAATGACAGTAAACTGTGTATTACCAGAGTCACTACCAAAATCCTCCCAGCTGATAGCAAAGTGTGACCAAATAATGAATAATGCAGGTTGGTAATTTTTACTTGTTTTAATGTGACACAAAAGGTATTATGTAATTATTCATATTGTTTCTATACAATAAAAAAACACATATTTATGCCGGTTTTAATGAAAAGTTATTAGGATATCTGACTGTCTCAAGCTCAACATTGTATTGAATTGTTTTGGATAGTTTATATCGAGGAAGATTATGCTATATAAATATATATCTCTAGCCTAACTATGACCAATAGGAAACGAGCAGCAAGTGAAACTGCGCGGGAATAACTAGCTAAAAATATAGCTGAAGATTTTATTTGTTTGGACTCTTTCTCTGTATTTCTAGGAATAAATTATTTTTGTGTTAGGTAGTCCATTTATTGAAGTAGGCTATAATGTAACTGTAAGCTATAAATTTCCACACTATGACTACAATCCCTAAGAACCGAGCAGCAAGTGAATCCACAGGGGATTAGCTAGTTTAGTCAGTGGGTCATCTTCAGGGTGGATTTATGTACCTACAGATAATTTACTTTAAAAAAACTATAATTATAACTTACTAACCCAGCGAGTAAATGAAATTTCAATTACCATGTAATATATTCTTAGAAATAAATCAGTCAATTAATATTTTCATTACTAACGTTTCCTAGAACCAAATAGTGTAACCACCAAAGTCCGAATCCTGGTAATCCAACCGATGCAGCTATAATAAGGCCCCCAGGTAAAATGTTGAACCACATTATTTCCAAATAATTAATTAATGTAACGTATGTAAATGTCAAATCTTATAAGACAAGTATGACAAGAAATTGTGTCCATTTTATTTTATGGTTGTGAAACCTTTTTCCAAGGTCTTTGGCCTATGCTTTGATTTCTTGTTGATTGAAAAGTTTTTATTAGGTAGAAAAAGTAAGTAGTTCGTAGTAAATGATATTACATCAGCTAGCACAAAAGTTCACAATATTACATTGGTAGAAAGTACAATATTTTCTTAAGCTTTTCACTTTTCATTCTAATATAATTTTTTTGTATTCATTTCGATATAAATAAGCTTCCAAATCATATCAGTGCATCCAATACAAGCGTTATCATAATGGAAACACTGTATTATTGGTTTTCTTTCTAATACTAATTTCTTCTTTTGGCAACACTAGTTATCGGGTCATCAAAAATGGCAGACGCACCGATCGACTGTGATTTCCCCGTTTGGGGATTAATGCCGAAAAAAGAAACGGGAGTTGTATCGTTTATCACCAAAAATCCAATTTATGATGGAAGAGATACCGTTATTGCTATTTTCGATTCCGGCGTCGACCCAGCGGCTGCTGGACTTACGGTAAAAACTGTCATGTCACGATTTGTTTAGTTGCAGTTTTATTACAATTTGAGTCAATATTAATTATTACTGAGGTTGCAGGTAACAAGTACGGGTGAAACGAAGGTAATTGAGAGGTACGACTGCAGTGGCTGCGGCGATGTAGACACTAGTACTATCATTAAAAAAGTCTCCGAAGGGTGCATTACCGGTCTCACGGGCCGCAAACTGAAGGTAAACTTTTCCGAAATTGAATTAAACAGCTAATAATTCGTGTTTCCTTCATGTAGGTACTACTTCATGATCATATTGGAATATCTTTACCTCTATCCACTTTATGTAACTTTATAACAGCTGCCTTTAATGTTGGAGTATGGATTATTATTGGGAATATTTTTTATTATTTTTTTCCTAAGATTATCCGAATTGTCATCTGCTTGGAACGTTTTTTTAGTTTAGTTTTGTTATTTTAGAAATAAGTAATAAGATATGTATAATTGAGTAAAATAACAAAGCACTAACAAAGAACTTGTTGATTCATTTCAGTGGCATAGTGCCAAAAATAGATAATTTGGTTTGGATAAAACAATAATTAATTAAAAATTACAATCTCAAGGAATATTTAATTACTTAAACAATTTTTAGTCAAAAGCCAATTCATTAATTCTGAAATTATGATTGCAGATCCCAGAAAAATGGAAGAATCCATCAGGGACATGGAGAGTGGGTATCCTACACCCATTCAGTATATACCCAACAAAACTGAAGGAGCGCATGCAAGAGCATCGCAAGGAACATAGCTGGGACATCGGGTACAAGCCAGCTTTCGCTGAAGCTAACAAGAATTTGCAAGATTTTGAAACTGATGTTGGTTAGTATTGTATTTACCAGTAAATATCAATTTAATTACTTTAAAAATGAAAGTTGAAAGTTAAGATAACAAATAGATTTCTAATAAATAATATTAAACTAATAGAGGTATGTTAATAAATTTAAATTATCTGATGAAATGTATCTATCTGATATCTTTATCAATGTAAGTTATATAAACTAACAATACTATTTAGTAATTGATTCTTAAACCAATGAATTTGCACTTCTTCCAGTGGCCAAGAATCCAGTATTGAGCCCGGAGGACAAAATCCAAAAGGAGGAGTTAGAAGCCAGGGTGGAAGTTTTGCAGACTGCAGAGAAGAAGTACAATGATGTCGGACCTACATATGACTGTGTGTTGTTCCATGATGGAACTGTCTGGAGGTATGTTGGCATCATTTCACCACCACCACAATTTTAGTCACCTGGACCATATGAACTTTAGGGCTTAGTACAAGTTTGTTTTATGTTTCACGAGATCGAAACGTTACCAATTTCAGTCCTTTAATTGGCCAATCAGTGTCATACGCAGTAACATTTCATTAAACGTAAAGTAAGCTCATACTAAACCCTAGTTGGTTAGAATAATACTGTTGTGTAATTAATGAGGAACTCGACTAGTTTCATGGGTTGAAAGTCGTCAAACAGTTATGTAAGTAAGCCACTAACAATAATTTAGTAGCTATTTCTTTAATTTAATTGTTATCGTCTACTTGAATTTAGGTTTTCAAGTACATTTGCATTAACAGTTTGATGGTAATTGAATATGAAATGGTATCAGCTATTTACTATTTAGTCCCCATAATAGACTTGGATAAGTGTTATGTGCTATGTGTAGACAATTATTAATTAGAATCTTAATGTGTCTCTAAATGAAGTCATTCTTCTATTATTGCTTATCCTTTGTTCCTCACTTTTAATTGCAAAATGTCATGCTCATAACCAATGCTCTTAATTTAACAATAGTTTACTGCTAACTGCTAATCCTTTTTTTGTGATGTATTATGAGACTCATGATTGTTTAATTATACTATAAATAGTCATTAATATGGCAGTTTAATAATAAGCACTTTAGTAATGAAATTATGTATGCAATAATACTTAATGATTTATAACATAAAATCACGCCTTTTATCCCCGAAGGGGTAGGCAGAGGTGCACATTACGGGACTTATTGCCACTGTATACCATGTAACACTTACTTTTCACTATTTTATGTTATGAGTCCCAATCCCAACTAATAGGGGGTGAGCCTATTGCCATATACCAGGCCAAATTCCAGACTCCGTGCTACCACTGAGAATTTTTTTAAACCCAGTAATATTTTGCCCCACCCGGGAATCAAATCCGACCCCTTGTCCGTTGTCGCACTTGCGACCACTCGGCCATAGAGGCAGTCTTGCTGGTCTATGGGGCTCTTCTACAAAAGAGAAGTTTGCCATAGTCTCAATACTTGGCAAGTGGATTGAGGTTCGCAGTCTCAAAAGACTAGATTTAAGAATGGTGCTGCCTGGTCTCTATTTAGTATTTCGTCCTTTAGTTGACTCTGTATAGTTGACAAATGTATTCTCCAAATAAATTATACTCATAGCATAACCCTCGAATTGTTTCTGTCCACAGAGCATGCATTGACACTTCAGAATGCGGCGACCTGGCCTCAGGTCCGTTCCTGGGCGAGTACAGCGTTACCCAAGAACACACGCACCTCACGCCCTTTGACGAGATGACTATCAGCATCAATGTCCATGATGAAGGACAAACTCTTGAGGTCGTTGGCATGTGCTGTGAGTACAAACAAACATATGATTTAATTATAGTGGTAGTGATATTCTTTGTAAATGTTATTATTTTAAACTTAATGCAACAAAAATATGTGAGTAGCCTTCAGTCTAAATGCCTGTAGCATTCATGCCACAGGAATTTTTGTTATTCAACTTTGTGTGGTAGGTACTTACTTTATGGTGCAGGTTATTTTCCTATCCAGGTTTTCCTTTATTTATCGAAATAATATATTTTCCTGTTTCGTTACAAAAATAATTATCCACTTGTGATGGACGAGTTGTTATCATACATTATTATAATGCAGTTTTATCAGTATTTGTGTATCCAACTGACACTAACTTATTGATTTTTATTGTTGCTATTATACCTATACTTGACTTCATTTATTTTCGTATCATGAAAAGCTAGAGGTTTCCCTGAATACCACTAACTGAAGAAGATTTTTAAATAAAGACTTCTTATAACTATCTTACAGCAACCCACGGCACCCACGTAGCGGCGATTGCATCAGGCTACTTCCCCGATGAACCGGAGCGTAATGGCGTGGCCCCCGGTGCTAAGATCGTCTCCCTCACCATCGGAGACAGTCGCCTGGGGTCCATGGAAACTGGCACGGCACTCGTGCGAGCTTGCATTAAGGTCATGGAACTGTCCAAGAAAATGAAGATTGATGTTATTAATATGAGCTACGGAGAACATGCGCATTGGTCTAATGCTGGGTAAGTGGCCTTATTGCATGTACCTATTGACCTTACATGTATGGAATGGCATAGTTGTTCAAAAATAGTCGTAATTCTTGACTTGGATGTAATTAAGACTTATTTGGGATGTAACTAAGGTCAGTGGTAGGAAGCATGATAGGTCATAGTATAGCTTGCTTGCTTTAATGAGACCTGACATATTACACTTCTGTCAGTGTTTAAAATGTGCCTAACTTGCCTTAGGACCATTTTCACCAACCACTCGTAAACCGTCTCTTAACTAAAGATTACTTAAAATTTATGATATTAGCTTGGTTAAAATGGACATTAGAATAGTGTTTAAGAATAAAATCTTTGCTTGTCTAGAGAATAATATAGTAATGAATAATTGTTTGCAGTCGTATTGGCGACATAATCTGCGAGGTAGTGAACCGTTACAACGTGTCGTGGGTAGTGTCGGCCGGGAACCATGGGCCCGCGCTCTGCACCGTCGGGGCCCCGCCAGACATTGCACAGCCTATACTTATTGGTACGTACATTTTGCTTGATAGTGGTGATTGCGACTGCTCGACCTATGAAGCAGTAGGTACACTTATAGGCTGTTGATGCGATGTCACATTATGACTATAGATTAGTGTTTAACAAAGTTTTTTGTCGTATGGTACAGGAGTAGGTGCGTACGTGTCCCCGGAGATGATGTCTGCGGCGTACTCGATGCGGGCCCGGCTGAGCGGCGGCGCATTCAGCTGGTCGTCGCGCGGGCCGGCGGCCGACGGCGCCAGCGGACTCACCGTCTGCGCGCCCGGCGGGGCCGTGGCCGCCGTCGCCAGGTACTCCTACATTACAGACTACAAGAGAAAAGTTACTTCAGTGCCGTAATTGAACATGCGGTCTTTATTTTAAGTTTGGCTCCTCCTTGAGGGTTGTCCTTCATTACTGAGAGTCGTAACCTCTATGGAGTGCGCGGTGGACTCACTATATTACGCCATCGGTCTGTTTAAGTAATGTGCATAGTATTGCGTAGATTATTAGACCCGAGGGTGGTGCAGACCTGTACCATAAGAGATCTGCATACAATCCCACTGAGAGTAACTATGTCATAGCAAAAACTTTATTATTGTTAACACTTGTTACAGATTCACTCTAAGAAATTGTCAGTTAATGAACGGAACATCGATGGCAGCACCACACGTTGCGGGTGCAGTCGGTAAGTAATTCAAATACCCGTAAAAACTCATACATTAATTTATTAAGTGTTATTTCTTGAATCAACATATTACGGGTATGCCAGCGCAACCAGAGCTCTTACTCATGATAGGCACAAGCGGCAAACTCAACAACGATGAATGATGTCATTTACTTTGTTACACGATTGTGTTATTGAACAAAAATACAATTTAATATTTTCTCTATCCCCCAGCAATGCTCGTCTCAGGACTGAAGGCAAAAAACCTCGCATACTCTCCGTACTCCATCAAGCGTGCGTTAGAGAACTCTGCTACTTACTTGTCACACGTCGAGCCCTGGGCACAGGGCTGTGGACTGCTCAATGTTGAGAAGGTGAAATATACTTTAAGTTAGTAGTTTTAAAGTTTAGAATAGCGCTGGAGGTGGGCATATCTTTGAGTGTCATTCATCTGTTCAGTTTAAAAAAAAATATATGTTTTTGTAGACTCTGTATAACCACTCTGTTCAGTTACTTCCGGATGTTGTTAACATGAATCAAGTTGATATAAACATAAGTAACATTAGCCTAAGATTGTATAGTAATTAATGGTCGCATAGGACTTTTTTATGTGAATTACTATAGCTTTCGACCATGTGAAGGAAAGTAAAATGTTCTATTCAGGCCTTCGACCTGCTGGGCGAGTACTCAAGCGCTCCAGAACGTGACGTGACCTTCAGTATCCAGTGCGGACCCAGCAATGCCAAGGGAATACTACTGAGGCCGCGGGTCGACGACGTACCCAAGGACATCGGCATCACTGTCGAACCACACTTCCTACAGGACCATAACGACATGGAGAGTGAGTATACACTTCAAACTTTATATCCATAACAGTAAAGTCCACTTTACCTTACCTAGACGCAGATTTGTTGTTGTCTTGACCCGTATTTTCAATTCGTAGGCCCGAAAATACCTTTGCTCAAGGATTTTCTTAAGGAATGTATTTGTGACGGTATGTTTGTGATGTTTATTTTATGTAGATCTATTGATTCTGTACAGACTTGGAAAATGTATAATGTCGAGAACATTGAGGCGGTTAATAATACTTTGTTACAATAGGAAAGTGTTATGGCAAAGCAACCATCGTATGAAGTGTTGCGAATTTCCTATCAATCTTCTTGAAATATGTATAATTGGGTACTTGCCTTAATGAAAAATTAATTATTTTGACTGTTCAATACAATAAAATATTGAAAAATAATCACGCTTTCATTAATTGATTTTATGACTAACTTAATTTTAGTTACTTTCCAGCAATTTTTTTTAGAAATAAGTATTCTGTTTGACGCTAAAAAAACTTGACATCACAATACACAATCTCATACTATTATTATACTGTTGTTGACATTTTTGTTGAAAACTGTTGTTTTTGACAGTTCGAAAAAAGTATCGAATTTATCTAGTTGGCAAGTACCCAATTATTTAATATTGGACTCATAAAAGACTACTTTCAAGATATCGATAGTATCAACCATGGATATGTTAAGTAATTTTCCGCCATTTTAGTGTAATTAAGTTAATGTTTTGACGTTGTTTCAAGCCTAGGTCCTATAAAATGGTAAGAAGGTTGTACGCGCTATTTTTATACCAATCATACGAATCCTCATAATTCTAAAAGCAGATACAAAGAAAGCTATGTGTAGTGTGTGTGTTACAGACAAGTCAGTAATTCCGAAGCAGATAGCGTTCGGTATGAGACTGGCTCTGTCCTGCGACGCGGCCTGGCTGTCGTGTCCGCAGTACTTGGACATGATGAACGCGGCCAGGCCTTGGACTGTACGCATCGATACTACTGGACTTAAACCTGGACCACATTTTACTAGGTAAGTGTAGTTGATGGTTAAATTTTGCTAGAAAGCTGTGTTGAAGGACTATGCCTTTTAGCTGTCTTATCATAATAGGCCACGTCATGTCTTTTCAAAAAAGAAATAAGACATAATTTTGTACATTAAAATCTGACTAACTGATAAACTGGAAAAAAATTGTTTTTAGCATCGAGTTGGTCTCTAAGTAACATTAGAATAGGTTATGGGGTATGGCAAGCAAATATTGCTACGTCCACATTATCCAACTATTTTTTTTATTCAGAAAATTTACAAATTACGCCATTGTGTTACACTATGTAGACAACATGATTAAGGTAACATCTGCAAAGCGGCTCTGTTGGGAGTCCCAAATGGTCTATCGAAAGTTATTAGGAGACAAGTAAATGCAAGTAGCTTGAATTCCAATGACCTTAAATCTGATAATATAATGCCGCGACACTGGTTATTATATTGTTGTAATACCTGGTGGTGTGGTCCAGTATCGTGGCGTACGACGTGTCGGCGGTGTCGAGGGGCCCGGTGTTCCGCGTCCCGGTGTCGGTGTTCCAGCCGGAGCCGCTGTCGCTGGCCAGCGCCGCGCCGCCCGCGCTCGCCGCCAGGGACGTACTGTTCCAACCGGCCACCATCGTTCGCCACTTCGTTATAGGTAAGGAATCCTATAAACTGTATTATAATGACTTGATTAATGTCTTACGTAAGACGTACATCTTCTCTCCTAATTGTGGAGAAGATGTTCGTAAAAATCTTATATCGCGTCTAAGCTAATAACGTCTGAAATTGACGTCTAAATTGTTTTAAGTTGTCCTTACAGATAAGTAGATAATATAATTATAGCAGAAATTATTAACTAGCATTGACACCAGTACCTTAATCGCTAGTGGCGCCATCTAGTCAGCGCAAAAAAATATCTGAAATGTTACTTAACATTTCAGATATTTTTTCCTCTAGTGAAAGAATTTGCTTGTTCAATATTCTTACAACTTCAAATTCTCTTTCAGTCCCACCTGAAGCGACGTGGGGCGTCCTAAAGATCTCAACAGAAGATAAAGAAAAGACTGGTAGATTTTTAATACACACAATGCAGTTATTGCCTAAGAAGAGTTGCAGATGTCACGAGACACAGAAGATGATTAATGTTACTGCAGAAGCACCCACAGTGTTACCCTTCCAAGTTGTTGTAAGTATTTTATTGTTTGTTTTAGTTGTAATAAGTATTTACAGATTTATTAGACTATTTAGTTCCATCAGTAAGTGTTTTTACCTGGAAAGTTTCCATAATCGTTATTTTCACGACAGTCGTAATTTTTAAACGAAAATACTTGAAATAAATTATATTAGGTCTTGAAACAAGTCCTTCATTTTGTATTTCCCAGGGCGGCGTAACACTAGAAGTAGTAATAGCGAAGTACTGGGCCAACATCGGCGACCTGGTGACGTCGTACAGCGTGGAGTTCCACGGCCTGCAGCCAGACTTCGGCAACAAGCTCGTCATCAGCGCCGCCGACGGAGTCCGCGCCGTCACCCTGCGCGCGCTGCGCCTGCAGGACGTACAGCCCACGGCGCAGCTCAAGTACCTGGAGCCGGCCGTCAGGTATACTGTGTCGTTATTGCTATTTACTTCACTATTTTTCGTGAAATGAATTAATTTATGAATTAATTGTTATGTTATCGGTTTACTTACGAAACTGTTTGACTCAGAACTCGACTAGTTTCAAGCCATACTAGAGGCTCATATTCATGAGTAGTATTCCTTGGCCCGCGTCGACCACCGTCGCTACTACCGGCTGTCGAAATGAGCTGAGCACGGGCCGGCGCCCCCCGCCGCCACTCCACGCGCAGCTCCATCCGTGGCGCGACACCACTGGCACGCTACACTCGTCCGCCGGTGGCCACGAAGATGTTGAATTCGAATCCTGAGCCGACGCCAAATCAGTGTACTCACAACACTGTAGTCTGATTCAGAATTCAGACTCGGCTTCCAGGCAGGTGGTAATGCCCATCCACCGTCTCTGTTGAAGTTCGGACGACGAATTATTTCGATAACCTCGCGTACTTTCCGCGGTACGAAGTATTTCTCCCTCGCCAGTACTGAGACCTTATCGAAACGGAGGAAGTGAGCCGTGCCCGCGCTACACGCGTGCTCGGCTACTGCCGATGTATGAGTGTCCCGGTCCTTCCCACTGTATGTGTTCCCCGAGTATGGTTGTGATACTGCGACGAGTTTCCCCGATGTAACTCGAGCAACAGTCGCACGGTATCATGTATACTCCGGGAACTGTCAGTGAATCCTTGTCCTATGGCGAACGTAATAAATGTCATAACTGACCAGGTGGGCGGAAGATCGTCCTAACCTTCGGCGTAACAGGTATCCAATCGTCGGCTACTCCCTTCACTAAAATAGTCGAGGTCCTCGTCAAATGATTACGTGAGAAAACCCATAACATAATGATTAATATAAATTTATGATTTTTTCATTTATATTCTTTAGCACATATATAATTATGAATATTCGGATTAAATAATTACATGCTCACAACCTAATGCACGTTCAAATGGCATTGATTTCTTTTTATAAACCTTGGTCACTTTTGAGCCATAGCTTTACTCACCTACTGCATGTATCAATTAATGTACTAGCCAACTTCATTAAAGATCCTATAGATCTTTATTATGCTCCATACTTCAGTTTAATTGTTACTGTAAAATGTTTACTTATGTAACTTTAATATATTGATTGCAGGCCGTCAGAATCGAAAATCACCCCGTTAACAGCTCGTGATGTAATTCCGCCCAGTCGACAGATATATCAACTAGTCAATACTTATAATTTCCACATTGCTAAGGCCACAGAGGTAATACAAATCATTATATTTATAAGAAATACATTAACGATTTATTCAAAATTGTTTATTAAGTACTTATAAATATATGTATGATATTCTATTAAATGTGAATTTTAATGATTGTGTAACTTGTTCCATTCCAGGTGTCACCAATAATATCATTACTGTGCGACATGTTGTATGAGTCGGAGTTCGAGTCCCAAATGTGGATGTTGTACAATAGTTGTAAACAACTCATGGCTACTGGCGATGCTTATCCTTCTAAGGTAAGAATAATATTTATTGAAAACTAAACATTTCAACTTTAGCATGAAATTTCAATATTTTTATACTTCTAGTTTTAGGTTTAAAGGTAGTTGGACAAAAGCTTTTACTTTACTATGAAATCGACGTCTTCAGTAAGGTTTTTGTATCATTATGTATTTTTAAAAACACAATAGACCGATTTAGAATAAATATTCGTGGATAATATTTATGTCATTCAGTCTTCTTAATTGTGGCAGTGATTTTTTGTGATTATTTAGTACAGCAGTGAATGTATGTCTGCAGTACTCCGTGAAGCTGGAGAAGGGCGAGTACACGCTGCGGCTGAACGTCCGCCACGACAGCCGCGCGCTGCTGGACCGCCTGCAGGACCTGCCCGCGCTCATACAGCAGCGCCTGCCCGCGCCCATCGCGCTCGACGTCTACTGCAGCCAGCCACTGGTCGCCACTCTACTCATACCATATTGTTTTTACTGTATAAGCCGGCAAACGAGCAGACGGGTCACCTGATGGTAAGCAATCGGCATCGCCCATGGACACCTGGAACACCAGAGGCGTTACAAGTGCGTTAGCGGCCTTTTGAGGATAAGAAGTTTGGGGATTCAGGAATTGGGAAAGGAGAGGGAGGGGGTAGTTAAACCTTCAGTAACCTCACTCACACGACGAAACAACGCAAGCGTTGCTTCACGTCGGTTTTCTGTGAGGTCGTGGTGTCACTCCGGTTGAGCCGGCCCATTCGTGCCGAAACATGCTCTCCCACACTTATTATACATGTCCTACTTACAAAAACAAAGAAAAGCATTCGATTTACACGCACACCTCATTGAAATTACACGTGATAATGTTACTTGTTAAAAATGTTGAGTAAGAAATGTTTGAGGTTGATGGTCTTTTCAAAAATGGGGTCATTGCAATGTATAACACATTAATTTGCAGGTAGAAAAAGAAGTAAAAAAAGTACCCAATACTTATGTGTTACATGGATGCATAGATTGATTTAAGTGAAATGTTAAGTAGTAATATAATATTTAACTTCTAAATATGTTTTATTGCAGGCATTGACAGGTGGCAAGAAATACAATTCAGGATCATTAGCAAGTGGGAACCTTCTACCTCTTTATTTCACAACTATACCTGCAGATAAGTGAGTATTTAAATAATATCATTTTCTAACAATAAAATTATTATATTTGTACTACAATACCTAGCAATAAATATTTCACATTGACCTTTGGAAAGAGACAATCTTATGATTATGAATCGCTAAAAGTAAAAGTAGTCAAGCATTATCTTTGAATTATAAAAAGATTGAAAAAGTTTAGTATAAAGAAATTATTATAATATAAAACAATTTATGTTTTTCTGCAGAGCTTAGAACCAGTTTTTTTTACGTTTAACGAGATTGAAACGAGACCGCGTCCGGCGCTGTGATTGATTGGTTCATTGCAGCCTTTAGTAATCGACGTGCGATATTTATTGGGTGTCCTTAAGTAGGTGTGTAATGTTGTCCCCCCCGGCGCAGACTGAGCCGGTCGTCGCTGTCGGTGGGCGTGTCGCTGTCGGGCAGCGTGTCGTTCGCGCGCGAGGAGGGCGCGCGCCGCGTGGCGACCTACCCGCTGCAGTACGTGCCGCTGGACGCGCCGCGCCGGGCGCCCGCCGCGCGCGACAAGGACAAGCCCAAGCACGACGACTACATGGACGCCTACAAGGACTTCACCACCGGCTGGCTCGCCAAGCTAGGTGACTACAACGACTTACTCGTAACATACATCCCTAATGACAACCATGTTTTCGAAAATTTATTTTAATCCCAAATTATTGAATCGATCTTAATCCAATATATTAAATTCAATATTTTTTCATTCTGCTCTTTTAAAAGACGTCTTCTATGGTCAATTTTTCGCTATAAAACAAAAAAATAACAAATTTAAATGTTAAAATAATTTGTCGTTTTCATAATCTGCAACATTACAAGCCCAAACTCTTTCTCCTTCTATTTGTTGTTAGTACTGAGTGAGTAAGTGATAACAAAACAATAAAATACATTAAAAGCACAGGACAAAAGCTTTAAATAGAAACAAATAGCCTTTAAACATTTTACATCTGACTTTTGTTGACAGAAGGCGACAAGTTAGAACATGTTTATGAAGAGTTAGTAGAGAAGTTCCCAGGCTACTTAGGGGCGCACATCTCATATCTAAATGCACTCGACTCACCTACTGATACCAAGAAGTAAGTACATAACTTAAAAATCAACTAATTAACTATTACATATTAATTAACTTAAAAATTTCGGAAATGAATCTTATGATTTTCCTAAACTTAAACCTGTGTGAAGCAGATACCAGTATATCAATTTCTGTAAATATCATTTTAACTTAATTATTTTGCTATTTCAAAATATTAACACCTAAAAGTTGATTGTGCAAATGTATTAATAATAGCGTTTCTATTTTATTTTGTTTTTAATTAAAGACTACCTCATGCGAATGAAGACCCCGATGTTACGACAGCGTGGTGCGAACAGATGATTACTATTGCTGAAAAGGTAAATTAACTACTAATAAACAAATTAATAACAATAGTGCTAAAACAACAATAATACCATCGATTCTATGCTTTATTCCCAGGTTATAAAGGCTATTGACCAGGACAAGTTGTTAGCCTACCTCGGCATGAAGAACGATACTAGGAGTGACGCCAGTAAGATTAAGCAGTAAGTAGTTTTAGTTTAAATCTGTTATATCTTCATTTTATGTTTTGTTTGCCTGTATGGAATGTCTCTGGAGCTCAAAGTCATAATTAAAATAGAAATGCATTTGTCAAAGCAGGTATTTCCTCTGTTGAATGTTGGTTCAGTGGACCAATATGAATTTTGGTCTCCTATACAGTATTTAGTCATTTTGTCGCTGTTCTTGCAAGTTTTTCGCTAATCACCGGTATGAAGAACGACGTAGTTTTTAACATTATGTGTAGCACAATAACTGATTATTTTCTTTTTTTTAAAGTCGTTGGTTCCACGACAGGGTTTGCTCCTGTGTCGTGAGTGTATTTATAAACATACTACTTTACTTATACATGACACCCAGACCCGGAACAACAATTTTTGGTTGACACAAAGTGTTGGTTCGTGTGGGAATCAAACTCGCTACACGCGCGGCAGCTGGTTGCCCAGCCCAGTGGCTGGTGGTGCGGTCCCCCACCATGCAATGACTGAACATAATATGAGTGTGGTAGTAACGTGCGAGCCCTCCAGGGAGCAAGAGAAGCAGCGCGGCTACCTGGTGGAGGCGCTGTCGCGGCGCGGCACGGCGCTGTGTCGCGTGCGGGCACTGTCCCGCGGGGCGGCCGCCGGGGACGCGCTGCGGGACAACATGCAGGACCTGCTCAAGTACACCGACCTCACGGACGCCAAGGTACGCGCACCAACTCGACAACGACCCAACTGACTTGACTAATTTTGCTCTTGAAATGTTTGTGGAAGTCCAGAGAATGTTACAAGTGAGAAAAACAATTTGCAGTACGAAGTTTGCCAGGTCAACTAGTACAAAATAAATCCTCACGCATTGTCTGTTCGTAGAAAAACATAGTAGTTGTAAAAAACATTGAGATTTAATTTTGGACTGATTTGTTCCTAACTATATTTCTCATAAAAATTGCAATTATCGGATCATAAATAAAAATAAAACTCAATGGTCGCAACGTCCAACATGATAAAAGTTTGAGTGACGATTAATGAAACATTTCTGGCAGCACTGTTTACAATGCCTTAAACTGTCAAGCTCCAAGAGGTCACCGGTGACCGCAACCTATTGTGTCTATAATGACGGTACTCGACGAGTTAAAACTGGAAATCCTAGACAGACGTATTTATTTACGAGTCCAAAACTTACAATTTGGTAAAATAATAAGCTCTTGTTCTATAAAATCTTGTCTCCAGGCGATTCACTACGGCGTATGGCACTGCTTTACATTCAAGCAATGGGGCCGAGCCATCAAGTTGCTCACGAAGATACAAGAGGAACGTCCTTCCAAGGAAGTGGAGGAGAGGCTCATAGAGGCATACCAACAACTCGGGTGGGACTTCTATGCCAAGGCCGCGCAAGGCGCCATACCTATTAAGTACCCAGCCAACTATAGACCATTTTAAGCATATGATAGTCTGACCATACACAGGGCAAGTTTCAATTTGTACTGAGAGATTTTTAATGTTAGAATTACGGGTAAATATAGAAAAAAGTTTTGCTTGACTTATATTTCACGAAATATTTATTGACTCTTGTCTTCTTACAGCACGGTTTTATACAGTTTCATGTAAAACAGTCTTCGTAGTAAATTCTTTCTTTTCTGCTGACAGAACTTTTAATTACTATTTTTTACACTGTCTTACAAATTATTTTTCTTGAGGACATCATATACGGGTATAATATGTCCCAAGTCTTGTGAATAGTTTTCTCCAGGGGATAATATTTGGTCATTTCTATCAGTACACATTGAAACTACAAAATATTTATAAACAAAGTTATGCTTAAAGTTTAAAGCAGTTTGCTTCGCGAAAGTTTGTACCGTACACGTTGTGGATTTGGAACATACTGTTGTTTTATATCGCAAGTATATTCATAAGAAATAAAAATAATAACAAACTTATTATAATGCCCCGTTTTGATTGAAATACAGTTTTATAATGTTCTTAGAAATTTTATATGAAGACGCGAATAGTCAACGATTGTATTGTTGCAAACAAGTTCAAAATGAAAATTCTAGACTGTTAATTCTTCCTAGCTAAACTTTTAATATTGTTACCTCAATTAATTCGTTGTCTTCCCCTGTCTTTCCAAGGATTCAATGAATTAATTTGTGTTCACATGCAATTTTAAACTGCATGTTTATCTTATCGTTTACTTGTTAACAAAATGTTTAAAGTCTGCTACAATGCAATAGTAAAGTACATAGACAGGTTGCTTACGCGGCAACAAGTCGACACTGTTGTTCAATTACATATTCTTATCATATAGACAATACATTTTATGTCTACTCAAATCTATAGAAGATAATAGAAACAATATAAATTATGTCCTTTTAAAGTTTTAGAATGAATTGAAATGCGCACTGCCGGAGTGTTAATAACATAAATAAATATTTAAATAATATTAGGAGATTGTTTTAGTGACATAAGCTTGGATCGTGGGCACTGTGCCCAAAGCTGGGCAAGCTTACATGCTTGAAAGACCAAGGAGTTTTCTATTGATTGACGTAGAAAGGAGTTACTGATTCATTGAGTAAGTATTAATTATATTATTTAATTTTTATAATGTAAGTTACATGAAGGTATCTCAATAATATTACTTGCCTCATTTAATTATTGCATTTAAATGTATGTGCATACAGTCCAATTTAGAAATGCAAAGCTTTTATACATTTTTGTACCAAGTTATTGTTAGTAATGAATAGAAGATTCCTTAGTCAAATTGTATGTTAACAATAGTCGGTCGTTTGTGTTAAATAAGCCATTTTATAGTTTTAATTTTTAATACAAATTGTAATGACAGGGTGCTCTATGTTGTGCTCAAAATAGTTCAATGTTTTAATGGACACATGATTACAATGTTAAATATATTTATTATTTGTGCCCAGAACGTCAAGTGAATTTATTTACTGTAGATACATGAGTATCTGGGGATGTACCGTCTTAATGAAATTAATATTTATTAAACAGCGACCGAGATTATAATTTCAGTTCTTGGACTGACGTTTTCTCTCGTTTAGTATGAATATAGTGTAGTAACGGTTCTAGTATATTAATAGTACTTATGTTAACAGCTTACACATTGTGTCTGTTTCTCTGTAGATATTTCATAGTCGAATATTGGCCAACCGGGTACAAACTCCAACACCAATTTCTAGGCCAATGGCCAATAAGATAGTTATAGCAATATTATCTCAAGTACACACAGTTCTAAATAACCAAATAATGCAATATTCTAGTTATAAGTACCACTTTATAAAGGCTTGATGAACAGTACACGAGGCGATCATAATAAATATATTCTGGGTGAATTTAATGATGTATTAATGAATTTTTACACGATTTATATATGAATTTTTATGTGGCATATTTTAATATTGAAATGGTTGGGTGGTGACAGGATTTTAATACGGTAGACAAGTTTGTGACCTCAATAACACTTCCATTAACTTTCTTAGGCTTATAACAGACAAAAATAAAAGATTGATGACAAAATGCAGATACATTTGTCTCTTCGAAGCTATTCATTTGTCATCCATGGTACATTTCCTGCTAAACAAAGTTGTCTTCCTCGTACCATCTCATGCCTACTTCCGAAGCTGTTATATCTAAAGTTAATAGTATAATTCATTAACTTCTTTGTACAATATTTGTTAACCAAATGACAAAGCAAAAGTTTAACTAGATAAATAAATATTATTATGAAATGATGCAAAATTTTTATCAGATGCAAAATCTACAATGTTTCGTGAATTCTCGATTTTAATTATGTGTGTATAAGTTTACAAGGAGATTTTTTTATTTGTATTTGTACCAATAAACTGTCGACTTATATTTTATGAGTTGTGTTATCAAGTTGTTGGTGCAAAAGTTGCGAGTAAGTAAACGCGCTTGACCTGTGACGTAAGGCCACAGGACTTATTATAATGAATTTGTTGGATCTAAGGATGGAGAAAATAAATATTATTTGATCACTTTCTTGTTTTTGTTGCTACTCCTTTGTAATACATTCGTTAATTTGATTTAGAAACTAGTATTACAATAATTATAATTTGTTCAAAAACTGCCTAATTACCGTAAGCTAGAAACGACCTGTTTCGAAAAGCCTCGTTGATGTGCGTAAGGCTAAACAGTTTTAAATTAATTGGGAAAAATTTTAAAACTTAATTTTAATACCTAATACCTTATTAGCTATACTGATATAGGATACGCAATCAGGTCACCTATGCATTGCAATTTTATCTCAGAAATCTGCAGTTTCCAACGAAATTGAATCAACTTTCAACACGGATGCAAAACGTGAAATCGTGGCACATGCTCGTAAAAAAACCTATTTGCTGAAGACGCCGAGCGAATATTTGAACGTAATCATATTATTTCACATTTGCAGTTTTCTCTTGCATGAATTTCTTTAGTGAAATATGGACGTTGAACGTTTAGGTTAACAAGATGGCTGCTGCACCGCGCGCCAGGCAGCTACGTTTTACTGGGCGAACGTGCCTTTACCGCAAAATTCTAGGTGCCGTTACAAATATCTTTTACTTAGGTTTGTACATTGTAACTACTCCATTCCGAGTTTCCATTATGCACTGAGATAAGCATTGAATGGTGGGTACATACTTGTAGAGTAAAATACCGTTGGGAATCTAGGAATTAACTCGTCGAGTACCGGTTTTATAGACACAATTAAGAACAATAGGTCGCGGTCACCGGTGACCGCTTGGTGTTTGACAGTTTAATATTGTGGCCGACGTTTACCAAATGACACGGTACTGCCGTAACAGCGTAGCCATCCATTGACTCAGAGTGGGGCAACAGTCTAAAATAAATTATATGTAACTGGCAAATTATGCTTGCGGTCTTTCCTTAGTTGATTTTTTCATATAAAACATTACAAATACTAAGGAGGTACTGTAGTTTGTATTCAAATACATGTTTAAGTTTTATTAAGTAGGTATGTACCTTACAGGTTTGAGCCAGGGTACGGCGAGCACCCCACTCTGCCCCACTGTGGCTACGCGCACAGAGCGTAGCGTAATGCTTGGGCTCGCTGCCATTGCAGCGGTAAGTCCCCTCTTTGAGGAGTGGCTTGAGAGACGCTACGGCGTCCTCACCTACCGCCTGACGCAGGTCCTCACCGGACATGGAAGTTTCGGGAGGTACCTGTGTCTGATGGGGCGGGAGGAAACGCCCGGGTGTCATCACTGCGAGGACCGCCCTGAGGACACGGTGGAACACACCGTAGCGGAATGCCCTGCGTGGGCTGAGCACCGCCGTGCCCTCAGGGAAGTGATCGGCGATGGCGACCTCTCGCGTCCGGGCCTAGTGCAGGCCATGATGCGGAGCGAGGGGGACTGGGATGCCGTCTCCTCCTTTTGCGAAGCAGTCATGCTAGCTAAGGAGGAGGCGGGACGCGTGAGGCAGCGAAGCGCTGCCTCCTCGCGACCCAGCCATCGCGAAGGACACACCGGGCGTCGGGGATCGCGGGACGATCTCCGGCCACCGTAAGCGCGGGCCTGCGGACGGCGAGCATGGGTGGCTCCCCGTCCGACCAGAAACAGACCCGAGCGTACGGCGCGTCGCGTTCCGCGCGCGCCTCAAAGAGCCATCAGACCACCACAGATGGGGCCCAATAGGGCCGATGCCGATTCGGAGTCGCGGAGAACCTAACGGGTAACCGGGGCTCCGGCTCGACGTGCAGGAGAAGGAACGGGGTGGTTTTTAGTCAGTAAGAGTCTGACACTCCCTTCCGCCTCACCCAGGCGGGAGCAGTCATTCGATGATTTTCCCCCCCTAAAAAAAAAAAAAAAAAGCGTAATGCTTGTCTTCGGTTTATCGCCATATTTTATGATCGTACTGATGAACTTTGATTAAATAAAAGACAGAAATAAAATTTAATTTCGTCACGAGTGTTGACGATATTTCCGAATCGGAGATGATTAAAGAGATTTTTTTCAGTTAATTTTTAGCTGAGTCAGGTTTTAACTCGTCGAGTACCGGTTTTATAGACACAATTAAAGAACAATAGGTCGCGGTCACCGGTGACCGCTTGGTGTTTGACAGATTAAGGAATGCGCTGATTTCTTCTTCATAGCTATGAGATCCGGTTTTCCGAAATCCCTTTGAAATTCATCAGTTAAAAGTTGATAAATTGTTACCATAAAATGGAACATTAGCGTAAAATGGTTACACGAGGAAGTCAGGTCACAGACCGAACAATATTCCTAACGAATGTTCCCAAATTAAGAGCTGAACTTTACCTGAATTTTGTAATGGCTGCCGACATCAAACTAAATGGGAGCTCGTTTGGTCTAATCGCGAATTTATGGAGTTTTCATGTTCTACTGAAAGGAACGGTAAAAGTAATTATTTGTTGCAATTATTCGAGAATATGTAGGTACCTATTATATTCTGTGCGATCAATAGTGTACTTGAAAGACGTTTATTGGTCACTGATTAGGTGATCAATGACGTAGGCTTTTTTTTAAGGGGGGTAAATCATCTAATGACTGCTCCCGCCTGGGTGAGACGGGAGGGAGTGTCAGTCTATTACTGACTAAAAACCACCCTGTTCCGTACCTACGCTATGATGACCAATTTCTTCGTACCAATCAACCTAAAAATACTTAACTAACCAATTCCTATCTATAAGTAGTTCCAAGTTACAATAGGTAGGTAGGTACTCACGTACTAAGTTTGCTAACTCTGCAGAATTTACCGCAGACCAAGCGCGTTAAAGCGCAATGAAGCGTATTTTAGCGATGAACTAAATCAAAGTTGACAGGTTGGTCAGCGGTTACTGTCTTCACGGCGAAGGGTGCGCCCCTGGCACGCTGAAACAACACGATCGAGTGGCTTTTAATCAGATCAGCGCCCTGACCGAATTATCTAGCCTGTATAAATATCAATTTAGGGTTACTGTTGAGTTGGCGCGTGGCGAGTAAGAAATAACCGCCTAGGTACTTACCTACTTCATTATGTACCTACCTATGATGTTTTACTAAGCCGCACGTGGCACGCATTAATCGAACATGATGACTGGTTTTTCTTGTAAGAGCAGGTAGAAGTAGATAAACAATAATTACTTTTCATCAATGGTTTGGTTTCATTTTCAAGTGGGTGATAGATAAGGGGTGGGGTTGAGCCTATTTCATGTTTGGAAAAACCAATTTTTTTTAACACATTTTAGAAGACGACATTTTATGTTCGACCGTGACGATTACAATAACTCGATATCTAAGTTCTACGATATGATCCCATTTCCAAAACAAAATGTCCAACTGAATAACGCAATCAATCAACATAATTTAGTTTGAACTCCTTAAAAATTCAGCTGGTTCTGCCAGCGGAATACATTATACCAATGACTAGTCACGTTCGCCTAACTGAAACGTTCCAACTAAGTTTAGGTCCAAAAAGCTTGTAACTTGGCTAAAACATGCAGAGTGCCAATTATGCAATTGGCGCAAATGGCCGAATAATCGTGCGACCGGGTTCTAGTTCTAGCTAAACCCTGTGCAGGCTCACTGGTAAAATGTGGGTAGGTTTGTTGCAGAAATATTGATTGGAAAATATAAGTTGTATTGATTGGATACGGACTAAGTATTGATATACCGCATTTCAATAAGATTAAATGGTCAAACATCGCGAGGACACCGGTGACCGCAACGTTCTTTAATTGTGTCTATAATGACGGTACTCAAAGAGACACAATCAGATTTTTTAAGAAAGAAAACTTATAAGTATACGGAAGGAATAAGATTTGTAAGAAATGGTAGTCCTTTTGTTTAGGTACTTTCATTATTTCACTGTGCGATGGTGTTGTTTAATTCCTTAGTTACACAGAGATACTCTGTACAGAGTAGCTCTTTGCAGAATTCATTTAATATTTATAACAATAGAAGTTCTAATTTAAATTAGATCCAGTTTTCCCTATCAAATATTGAGTTCCTCAGTGCACGCTCGAATGCAAATACAGTTGGACTTCGGTGGCGATTCCTTTAATGAATTCTGTGTGATCTGTCGTTGCGGTCGCCGGTAGTGGTCACCGCTCTAATTGGATTAACACTATACACTTCCGAAGTCTGGATAACTTCTAATTCAATACAGAAGCTAAGACAATCTTCGAGTTTCGAGTTGAAGACAATTGTCTTCATCTTTATGAGAACGTCTTACTAATTGGGTAAATCTCAATTTATACCCAAGTTTGTTGAACTTATGAAAAGTGTGTTTTAATAAAAAACCTTCTAGTCAAAGTCGTGGCACAAAATGACCATTATAGATCACCGAGCCTCTCAGGCCCTTTAAACTTATTTAGATGAACACAACGATAGCAAAGCAGAATCAAAATAAAAAACGCAATGTAATCAACATTGTCTACAAAACATCACATCGCCCGCTTTGTTTCGCTCGCTACAAACAAATCAAGTTATATTTGTATTAAAATTCGTTATCTTCTGCAATTTGTACTGGAAAGCCTTTGTAAACAAAGAGTGTAATATGATAGATAATAACAATAAGCGAATGTCTGGTCGGACAACACAAAGAAAATAAAATTATATTTGACGGCACACAGCGGGCACTAGATGCGAAGCGATAGTACAACACGATTGCTGTCTCGATTTTTCTGTTTGAATTCAGTTTGTACAATACAATTTACATTTTACATTTTCTATGCTATTTGACTGAAGCAAAGAATAGGTTACCAACGCTGTATTCATTGATTGGCTATTATTTGGTTATTTATAATTATGTAAAGATCAGTGAAAGATAATGATTATACCTTAGAACCATAGCTAGCGCAGTATCATTATAGTTCAAAAGCGATTACGATATTTCTGAAGAAGTTGCTGGACTATTGTCAAAAGTCCCTGTTAGGTAAATTACCAATAGTTACGATTAGAACACGGTTCATAGCGCGTTGTAGGAAGTCAAACGCCTTAGAACCACGTACCAGTTCCCGTACCACGTGAACTC